GGGGGGGGGGGCTGTTGTTTTGTTTTGTTTTGTTTTTTACTTACCACAGACTTTCGAATGCTAACCCGTGGTTTTGGAATTGGTTTGGTGGGTTTATTTTCAAAGCTTTCTGGAAGGGTTGAAGAATGGCCTCCTTTGCGTGCTTGTAGAGCAAGCTGATAGGCAACCTCAAATGCTTGTCCTAGTGTAAGAATGATTTCATAGGCTAAATTCTGGAACAATGGAAAAACATAATTTAAAATTAGTATTGCAGTGAATTAGCATTTATGATTGTTAATTAGGGACAATTTTGCATAGTGACAATTTTGCATAGTGCAGTTGTGTAAACTTTATATATATATGGTACAAGTCAGTGTTACTATGTAAAGAAATTACAAATAGATGTGATGACTTGCTTGGTCACTTCCATCTTTTAACAGATGTGACATAATGTACGTGCCTACTGAGGACAATCAAAATACAATTTACATTAGTGAAAGGCATTACTGTAACACAGTCTCTCCAATTGCTAAACATTGGAATAGTACTTGAACTGTGTTGGTGTCGCAAAATAGTGGTTTGCCATATTAACCTTGTCACCAAAACTATATTTGATGTACCAGCCATCCTTTTCTGTGTGTCTATTAGTTGTGATAATGAAAGGGAATTTCTTGCAAGGTTTAGTTCAATGACAAAACACAGAATTATGGGAATTTGGTGAAATCACCCCTTCAGAATGTTGTTGTAGCCCTCATAGTCCAGGAAATGTCCCAGAGGCAAGGATTTTTTGGGATATCCTTTATTGGACAATCTGCCAATAACCCCCCTGCATTTCACAGGTAATAACTACCTCCTGGTCTAATGGTCTTCCGTTTCACTAACCAGACTGCCTGCTCTATTGCACTTCTTTTATCTTACATTTTAATATTCCTCCAAGCAGGCTGTGTGAATTTATACAGAACCTCATCCGTGATATATAGTTCAGCCTGCACCTGCTTCCCTCAGACCTGAGGAATGCACTTGACTCCTGAAAGCTTGTCCAAAATCTCCTCCTGTTGCACAGGTGGTCCAGTAAAAGATATCACAAAAAAAAATCCTTACCTCAGGCCCTTCTTACAACAATTTTATGCATATTGGCTTCCAGCTTCAATGACTCGTCTTCCAGGTGCTTTGTCCCATTGTTTCTTTAACATTCCACCCAGCTCTACTTCAAGACTGATCTCCTGACCTGTCCTTCAGAACTGGCAGCCTGAGTCATTGTTTCCCTTGTCTAGTGTCTCAGAACACCCTGTGCTGTGTGTGCTATCACAGAATAAGAAATACTTTGAGAAAATCCAAAGGAAACTGATAAAAGCAAAACCACCATGCTTCATGGGTCTGCATGGTGGAAAATCGGTGCTATGGCAGTGACTGCCCTTCCTAGGGTTTAATCTCATGTTGGAACTGGACAACAGGCACTTGAGTGATTATTTTCTAATTTAAAACTAGACTACCAAAAGGCCCTGGGAAAGCACTGTAGGATATTATGTAGGCTACCAAGCAAGCCGGATTTGTCAAGAGTAAGCATTACTGGGTAGCAGAATAACTGGAATGGTAGCGGTTCTTATTGAAAACATGAAAAATAGTTTACAACAGACACTTGCTGAAAAAGAGGTGTTATCTGAACTGGAATTAAGGATTTAGGGCAAGCATATTGTTTTTTGTTTTTGATCCAGGTAGAGTTAGGAGTTCAAATCTGACCTAAACCCAAGGTGCAACTTTATGGTTTCAACCTGCAACCATGGTGGTTTCCATAAAAGTCCCACATGGTTTTGATACAAAGCCATGCATATTTTCTTGAAAAATTCATGAATTCTTCAGCTAACCTTGTTTAAGTGTGCTGTTTCTACCAAAGCCTGAAGTAATGCAAAATATGCCTATGCATAAAATCTGCCCTTCATTAGTTACCTTCTATAATTTTATCTTATTACTTTACTTCAAGCCATAAGCTACATTCCCACAGTGGTTGTGAAGGAACTTTTTCATGCTATAACAGCAACACACAGTGGGGTGAAGTCAGCCCTGGTGTAAACAAAAGCACATCCACTGATTTGGGTGGAGCCGCATCTGCTGTAAAAAAGGGGACTAATTCCATGAGCTCTGAAGGTGCAGCTTCTAGCATAAATGATGTGATTAATTGCAAGATGGCTCCAGATTTGCATTTGTTTAAATCACAAAACTTTCTTATGAAAAATCCAGAAAGAAAATGTTTAACTTTACCACCTGGATGTGATCACCTGCTGTGATTGCCTCCACTGCAACAGATTTCTCATGATCTCATAACATTTACATGGAAATAGTCTTCATAAATTGGCAAGAGTACAGTAAACTACTTTAATTTGGAAATACTGGCCAAAATTGGATAGTGCTATGAACATAGCTTGTCAATGGAGTCCTCAACTGAAGCCTGAAGGGATCATTATGATGATTTAGTTCGACAATCTTCAGTTCATGAGTCACAGAATTGAAAGCCTTGCTACAGATGTTTAGAATAACACATTTTATAGCTCAAAATGGAGGGCATGTGCTAATGTTGCAACACCACTAAGCCTTTAGAGAAATCTTGCATTGCTGTAGTGACAGGAAGCCACTATACTGTCTCATCACATTGGATTAACTGTAATGAGAGAATAACTAGATTCACAGAGAATGAACTGACTGACTAACAGTGTATAACAGCTCAGAAAGCAAGGAAGTTTATTATAACTATGGTGCTCTGATAGTTCCTCTTACAGTTATACATACAAAGATCACTGAGACCCCCTGCACTAAACATTCGTGAGAGTGGATGGGAACATACAATTTACCATACAGAGACCACAAGAAGGCCCTCCTGTTTGGATCTTTCCACCAATCAGGAGCTGGTGCAAATTATTTTCTTTTTGAGTTTGTTTATAAAGCATGTTACAACAGCAATGACCAGCAAATATGTAATCCAGTGATTCTCACACGGTTGCCATGTCACCCTGGGGGTCACGTGATTACTGGGGGGTGGGGGAGTATGGTAAATATTTTTAGATATCTTAGTAGAAATACTGCATTAACTGAATATTCTTAATGAAAACTGAAACATGAATATATAGATAAAGCAAATAGATTATGTATTAAGTTTGCAAAAGCCTTGAAAGAAAAGGAAGAATGCAATGGAGTTAAGAGATACTAGATTTTGGTCATTTTTAAAATAAGAAAAGATATCTGCTGAAAAAAATATCTATAGGAAAAATACAAAGGATTTTTCATTTGAAGTATTTTCAGGTCAGGTAGTGGTCTATGTGGTCTACTACTGGAGGGTGGGGTAGAACTGCACAAGATTTCACTTAAGTTTCTACTAGACTGCTCCCTTGGTAAGAGTACTGGTGTAGGAGGCAGGTTTGTCCCCTGGTGGAATAACCTGGAGATTTGACACAGAAAATCAGTGGTTGCTCCAATATCTGTGCCAGTTATCTTCCTCCACACTGTCCTTTCAGGCTTTCAGGAAGAAAAATGAAGCTGCTGGAGCTACAGTATTCTGTGTAGGCCTCTCCCTTCCCCTAGGGTGTCAGAAGAAGCAAATGAGTAATATTGATGCATTACGTCTATGACCTGAGAGCTTGAGGAAAATGGATTGTCTTGTTGTTTAAGTTTGAGGCATAACGCATCTAGCACAGCACCTAAGCATGCCAGCCTGACCCAGTTTACTTGTAGTCCAACTGTGCTATTAGCATTTATAACTGTCATGTTACATTTTCACTGATTTATGCTGTGTGAAAATGTCAGTTGTGTTAAGGTGCCACAGACATTATCGTTGCTGCCTCACTGTATGTTTAAATGTTTAATGTTTTTATATTTTACTGTTTTATGCTGAAACCTCTAGGATATTTGAAACAAGAGTATGAGATTGTATATCCTTTAAGGTTTTGCAGACTTTCATGTGAGGGATTTGCAAAATATTTTTAAAAATTGAGCTTTTGACCTTTTTAAAGCAATGCTGATATATGGTAGGAACGGCAGAATGGGTTCTTGTTTTTTTCTTAGAAAAATCAGTGTCAGTTCTGGTCTTTTCTGATTTTATTGGAGAAAATTCTTGGAATCCCAAGGAATTTTCCTTCAAGATCATCTTAAAAGAAGGGCATCCGTGAGGCATGTGATAAGGTCTTCCATTTGTGCCTGGAACTGATCTTAATGCCTGTTGGCAAAGCCAACCAAGAAGAGAGCAGACACTTACAGAAACTGATTAAAACATCCTTCAATTGCTATGTGGGATTCTTCCCATTCAGAATGTCATAATTTTTGTAGCTCTTAGTTGCAGCAGAGTTTTCAAGGGCAGACAAGAACTGAATTTCTAATGCTAAAGAGCATCAAGAACTCATTTTAAGACCAAAAAAAAAAAAAAAAATTCAGAGTTACCTTAATCTACCACAAAGGAGCAGTACAATAGAACAAATCCACTCTCCCCTTTAAGGTCACCTGAAACATCCTTCTCTTCTCCATTCCACACAGACCCTAATCCTCTTTGAACATTCAGTGCAAGAGCAGAGGGAAGGAGGTTTCAGGTGCCAGTTCGGTCCTTAGCATGAATTGGAGCAGGGGGCTATTATAATTAATGCCAGTTGCCTATTATAGGAGTTGTTACAGCAGCCAGGGAACAGCTAAGCAAAACAATATTTTGACCATGCACCCTGTAGTGAATTTGGGATTAAGCAGAGGATCTGCCATGGTGGCTTTTTGGTTGCTGGAAGAAGACCCCTTGAGACAGGAAGAAATCTTTCACTAGACCGTTGAGTCATTTAGGGCTGCTTTGTACTTCTGAATGGGCACAAAGCCGCCTTTATGAACTAACGGACTCACTTGTAAACTGATCTTTAAACCAGATTATTTTTCGGGGGTGGAGAGTGTGAGGAGACGTATTTTTATGCAAGAACATTACTCTATATTCATGTACCTGGGTGCATACAGTTAGTATGGCTACAGCACACAACTATGGTTCCAGGCAGTGTTGTGCTGGGAGAAGCCATCCTTGGTCCATGTTCACTACCTCCTTCCTACACATGAAGTGGTAAAGCCACCATGGCGCAGGTTTTTGTGTGCGCCTCTTTGCAGAGAGCTTTCCCAGAGTCACCCCAAACCCTAAATATCAACTCTACTTGTAGCTTACATTGTACTTCATTGCATTTAATTTGAATTCTGTTCTGGAAAAATGTTTGATAGCTTCAGTTTCTTTTGTTTTGTTGTTTTTGGGGGTTTTTTAGGAAATTTTAAGGAGACCTGGAGTTCTTTTCTTTTCTATTACTTTGTCAGCATGCAATTTAGTTTCTGTTGCCACAATTTATATACCTACAAGTATAAATCTATATAAATGTGAATCTTCTACTGACATTGCTAGATTCACATGGAACAGCTATCATGGTGTGTATGGGTATGTCACTTTTCTGCAAATATTCACAAATGTGGTATGTAGCCTACACTGCACTGTTCTAGGGGCAAAAACATCAAGTTAGCATAGGAACAAACAAGCATTTTACTTTAAACAGAGAACGGAACTGAGGTATATGTAAGTTGTGCACATTTAGGTATTTTTTCTTGGAGGTTGCATTGGAAGTGATACATCCAGAACAACAAAAACACAACACAAAAATACTACCTGAATAGGCAGCACCCTGATGGGAACTATGTAGCAGGAGAATACTATGTGAAGACAGTCAGACATTAAAAGCTATTGGTACAGCTTAAAATAGCCATTATAAATGCTTGGGGCATTAAGCACAACCCCTAAGGTGAGGAAAGTGAGCAAAATGCTGAAATTACTCCTGGATCACTAGTCTTCACTTGGCAGGCAAAGAGAAATGAATTACAGCTACTATACCTGGGATTATAAATATGTGCGTCTCCATATGATGATTAGGTTTATGGATGAAATATAATCCATGGTCACTATTTAGGAACATTGCAAAGGATTGGGAAAACCAATAATCCAATTTGATTTAATCAGGCCAGTTCTAGCAGGTTCTCATCATTAATATCCCCCTCTTTAATTAATAACCCAACAGCTTGTTGAACAAGGACTTTCTAATTTTTAAATACAGTTTTAATTTTGGTTCTATTCCCTATCTGCATTAAAACCTTAACAGAGACATGTGAACCAATAAAACCATGTAATCAAAACTCTAAACTTCCTTCTAAATTTCTTGCAATGGTTGTAATTAAGTTTAAACTTTTATATACTTTCCTGCTCAGCTAGGTTGCCCCATCTTCACAGCTACAGAAAAAGTAACCTGCTGAGATATATCTTAAGTAGTCCTGATCTAACTTCCTTGCATCCATTGGAGGAAGCTTCAGGAATTAAATATACAATATGCTGTGTTAAAGAAGTATACACATTTGTAAGCCAAACAACACAAGAGGAATTTCAGCTACTACTATGTAATGCGTATTTATTTATTTTGTACTGCAGTAGCAAGAGCTGTGGGGACTCTTGTTGGATATAAGATTTAAGAGCTGAAGGCAGGGAGCAAACATTTTTTGCTGCCACTTCTGACCTGGCCCTTGTTGCAGGCCACAAATCTCCACTTCCCTTGGAGCGCCCAAGCTGCTTGTAATTCCTGTCTCCACCGATCCCCTCTCCCCAGTGGCAATGAGAGGGGCAAATTCTGTGGTGAGGATAACAAGAGCATAGTGCAGCTGCATGCCTCTGATCTTCCCTGTGCTGCCTTTGGCGGGATCCAACCTCTTCACAGACTGGATGTGGCTTTGGGCTGAAAGCTGACAACCCCTGCTGTAAGGGGCAAAGTTAAAACCCTCAAAGCTTTAAGCTGCCACTTTGGCTTCTCTCCAGAGAAATTATATAGCCACAAGACAAATTTTGAAAACTTTATAGGTTAAGGCTTGAAAAGTCACTGCTAGAATAGCATTTTCAAAGGACCCAAACCTGCTTTCCTTGTTCCCTAGAATTCCTGCTGGCTCCACAAGGAAGATGCATGACGTGCAACATGAAGCAGAGGGACACCTGCACATACTTTTAACAACAACAGTATTTCTTATTGAATCCAGTGGTATTGTTCAAAGCTACTCTAGGAAGAAAACTGACAAGGCTGTGCACAGATCTTTGTTTGCACTGCTGTTTCAAACCACTTGAGAAACTGTGATAGCTAGTTACCATGGTGTCCTCAAGACCTCTTGAGACGTGTATGGAGCCTTGTAGTTTGGCTAATTGTGTGGTTTCTTAAATAGGGAATTCAAGTATTAATGGATAGGAGTATTTACTTCCCCCAGATTAAACTAGATAAAACTTATTATGTAACTCTTCATACACATTTGGTATCTTCGGCTTTCCTATTTTGTGACTTGTAGCACTTACCATAAATAAAAAGTACACATACTTATTTTTGTGCATATAATGCACCCCAGAATATTACACACACCCATTTTTTAAGGACTCTACAACAGGAAAAAAAATCTCACATTGGAGTCTAGGTAAGTGCCAGAGGTCTGGGGGCTGCCTGCTGGGGCCAGCCCAATCCAGCCCACCAGCACCAGGGCTACGCAACATGGTGGGACATGATTCAACATCCTTCATAGTAGGCCCCAATTTGGGATGCAGTTTTTGGGTCCAATCCTGTACATTGGCCCTGGGGCCATGCACAGTCCTGACTTGGACTGCTCACTGGCTGTGGAGCAATGTGGTGGGTCCAGGGCTGTATGCTTGGTTGGACCTGGTGCACTGGGTCTAGCCATGGACCAACCTCAACTGCAGTCCTGATCCAGCATGCAGTGGGGAAGGCGGGCTCCTCCCAGGTCCAGGAACTTGGCAGTAGAGGGGCAAAGTGGGGAAGGGAAGGAGTGATGGTAATGTTAATTGCCATGGCTCCCAGAGCTGCGGCAATTAACGCTGCTACTGCTCCAATACTTCCCCCCCCGCAAAATTTCCAGACTCATAGGGAGCCCTTTTCCTCATACATAATGTGCACCCCAATTTTCCCCAGCTAGTTTTTTTGGGAAAAGGACGAAGGTTATATGGAAGAAAATGGTAGTTTCTAGAAACAAGGAGCTTGATATTGCAAGCTGTTGATTCTGTCCTCACTCAGTACAATGGCACAGTACCAGGAATTGTTGAAAAAATAGAGCTGGAAGATCAAAGGTCCTCTTAACCCTAGCAGCCCATGACATTAACTTGGTTAAAATGCACCAGTTTTTGTAGCCCATGGTGGAGACTGAAGTGATGCGATTAGCATCATGTCTGGTCACTTGACTCTTCAACCAGATGACCACCTACCCATTTGCAGCTGGGTCAACTGCAGGTGGCCTTTGAATTCTGGAGCTTGCAAGATGCCTTAACTACCCAACTACTGTGCCTCTAAGGGGATGTTAAGAGACCATCCTGTTCATCCCTCCACACTGAGGCGGGATAATATGCAGTCCCACTGACTTCAACAGGACTACTTTCAGACTTTAGGTGAGCTTAAGCGCTCATTACTTTGCAGGACTGAGCCCAACTTAGGCAGAGTACATCAGTCAAACAGTTTTGTGTGGCATGCTGTATTTTTTTTTCCCAAAAAAGAGTAATTAAGACTGTTACTTTTTTTCTAAATTCCCTGAGGTTTCTGTGGAAGCGACCAAGCCTGTGATAAAAGTAATTGCTTATGAGGCAGTCCCCTACACAGCAAATTAAAAGAATTGTATGGTAGGGCTGTGAAGAGAGCCATTTGCCAAACCTAAAATTGGAGCTAACAGTGGAAAAACAACATGCAAGTTGTTCCAGAGGGAACATGATTTTAAAATAAAGGAGTGAAGGGAATCCTGGGGACCTCAAGGGCCATCTAATCTAACCCCTTTCACTGACATAGGATATACTGTTTCTAAACTGTTCTAGAAAGCTGTGTATCCTGTTAATGACTTATTCTCAGAGAAAATTTTTGCTCTCTTACAGTGCTATCACTCCATCACCTGCCAGCCTCATTTGAAGCATTTTGCTCTGTTACATGTGCATCCCCTTTAATTATTTTGTACTGGGAACATTTAATAAAAAAAAGTAATAGCCTCTATAAACTGACCACGTCAAATGCAGTGAATACATGGCAGTAGTGGTGGTTAGTCTTCAAGTCTTTAGTGATGTAGGCAAATGTTGAGAGGTCTTCAGGATCTTGTGCAGCACAAGAAATGTTGCGGATTTCATGTTCAGCAATAATATTCTGCAAAAAAACAATAAAACAAAAAAAAACAAGACTGTTTCCCCCCCGTAATCATAGGAGTTAAACGCAGATGCTTCTCAAAGACTGACTTTTCTGTGGGTTTTTTAATTTTTTTTACTCTCTGTACTAAAATATTTCAAGAAGTATTGAATCTTTAGTGTGAGTTGTTGGTTTGAGGCGTGGTGTTCAGGTAGCCCCTTGCTTGCTGTTGCTTTCAGTTTTTCGGCTGTTGGCGTTTAGGCACTCCGGAAGGCTAGTGCTCGCAAGCAGCCTTCCTGAGTCCGGGTATGATGCAGAAAGATTGATTTGAAATCACGTTTGGTGGTAAGAGCTCAGAGAGATTTATTGTCACTCAGACAGTACACTGGCTGGTCTGTTTAGCAGTCAGTCCAACTCAATAAAACTGCTGGGACTAGATAGTAACTCCCTGCATTAAATATGCTCCCCTACATAGAAGCAAACAATGCAGCACCCCTATTTATACCCCAAATGTCCAAGCTTGTGTGTAAAGGCTTATCTAGCTTTCTATCCTGTTATCTATTTCTATTTGTCTCTTTGCCAAGCTCATACCTGGCCCCTTTGGTTCATCCACTATCTCCGTACCTGCACTCATTAATTTTCCTTTAAACCTACTGCTCCTTTCTCATACCAGCTTTTCTGCTTGTTAATGAATTTTTACATCTCTTCTCAGTTCATCCAGAGGTCACCGAAGCCTATGCTTCCCAAGCTCCTTTTCAGTGCCTTAGCTTATCTGTGGCTTAGCATAACTATGACAGTTTAGCATAACTGGAAGTCCAACATCAGCAGTAGGCAGCAACCCCCAGCATGGGTGCCAGAGTGTAGCATGCAAAGGCATTTTGCTTGGCATATGCACCTTGGGGCAGATGGCAGGGAAGGGGCTGGGGCTGTGCTGCCACAATAAGGATTGGGCCCCTCGTGGCTTGCCCGCCATCCACCCTGGCACACCAACATCTTAAAGGTCAAGTCTGAGGGTGTTTTTGGTACTCTGCCCGACCCCTGTCCTATATGATTAAAACATCCCACACTCACTTCTTGCGCTGACCACTGAGTTCTGACCCCTCCACTGGCATCCCTCGGGACTGTTCAGAAAACTGCAAAATATTACACTTTTTCCTATAGTTCTGTCTGCCTTTGAAATAAGAGTCCTGCACAATTTACACATCCTGAGACAGAGGCCTCTTTCCTGGGAAGTGGCTGTGAGAGTGACTTAATTAGACAGTATTAATATTCTGTTCCTACATTTCTTGATACCATTGTTTGTATTAATAATCAATATCTTGTACCATGGCAGCCAAAATGTAATGGCTCAAGGCACAGCACACCAGATGTTTGCTGTAACTGTTTGCACATCTGACTGAATTGCTTTAAACTCATCTTCCAACTCAAATAAAAGAATAATATTACTAACCATAGTATAGAAGTTTAAGTCATTTCTATCAAAGTGAGAGCTAGCAGCCTATCTCAGTTTACTGCAAACAACATTGTGTAAGAAGGACAAGAAGGAATTAGACTGTTTATTTAAAGAGGAATATTACTTATAATAGCCAAATTAAATTATACCATACTGCATACTGAGCATATTTTGTATGCATATTATTGATGGCCTGCCCGATGTATTTAAAGTTTTGAAGAAATTATGAATATTTATCTATGTAAAATACCTATATAATAAACTTTTTTGGCTAACAGAACCAGGAAGACAAGAGAAGGAGACTGCATTACTGCTTTAGATTTAGGCCCTGACTCAGTAAAGCACATGCCCAATGTGATTTTCTGAATAAGGGTGGCTTTAGTTTTGTGTTTACAGGCCTTGCCGAATCTCCGGATACAGAACTGTCTTGCTCCCATGTGGCATCTCCACTGCATTCAAGTTAGAGGTCACTTCAGGCAACCTCAGCAAGATCTTAGCAATACATATAATACCTATAGAATCAAAGTTTAGCAGATCTATAGTTAGTTTGCTGGGTTGCTAACATTTATGCAAATTAAAGCCATCTTTGGCACATCTCGCTCTCTCTTGTTTATAGAGAGAGTATACCTCACTTGGTCATTTGAGTCTCTCTTTCTGCCAAGATACAACCTCCCCCTCATACATACTTGGCAAGTGTTCTGAAAAGAATATTAATATCTAATTGAGGAAATAATGACTGAATACAATCTGAATGAGAGGGCAGCATTCCAGGTTTTTTGTTTCAAATTATGCAAAAGTCCAAGATAAGGAAATTGTAACTGAAGACAACATCATCTTAAATTGTTACAGACTATATTATTTCTATATAATGTACTATTCACAGAAGATCACAAAATCAATGATTATGCCTTAACGGACAATACTTTGTAAAGAGCTTTATACTTTAAGTCAGTTGATTTTGATATTTTAAGCAAAACACAGCAAGTTCTCCCCCCCACCCCACACTTTTTTTTTTGTAGTGGCTTTATTCACAGTTCGGGAACTGCTGGATTAGATAAAGATTTTTATCACTTACTAAGAAGCAGGGATTTAGTTACCCACAAATAAAATTTGATACGTTGCCAGATGATGCTGTGTTAGTAATCTTTCACTTAACGATGAAAAGGAATTCAACTTAGAACTGTATGGAGGATTGATCCCCAAACAACACTCACCTCATTTCACTTGTTGCGATACGTGTGAAAATAACCTCATTTCAGAAAATGATTTCCTAAAAATCATGCATCTCTTTATGACTCTGGCTTCAATACTGAATAAACCTGTACTGAAATAGGGCTGTGTATAGAAAATTGTAGGACACTGGCAGACTTTTAACTTCAGAATCAAGTAAAGTTTCGTAACTTATATTGAATTTACTTTAAATGCAAGTACTAATCATAAATTCCTAGGAGCCAAATGTAACTGCTAAATTCAGTTTATATGTAGTACTCAGAGTTTCCAGTGATTATTTGTACAATAGAACCAAATATCCTCGTGGCACAGAGTTTGCTGTTGTGGGGTGCGCGCCTCTGGCACTGGCCAAGGGTGTGTAAGGTTCCATCTCCAGAACCTCACCAGCTCTGAAAGAAGCAAGACTGTGGCTCAGACGGTGGCTTTTAAGAATTAAAATTATTGTACAATAGCTACTCTTCCCCCTCCCTGAATTGTCTCAGAAGATCCATTTTTCACCAAGGCAACTTAGCAAAATTGGTTGTCCAGGAAATAGAGTTATATGTGACCAAGAGAGAAATGGGAAGTGTTTTTCTAAATCCAGCAAGACTAATTACAGACAGTCAAAAAGCCCAAGGCTGAATCAATTCAGCCTTTGCAGGTTAGTCTAAACTACACAGACTAAACTGACTAACAAGTGAACAACAGACAGTTACTTTTTACAGCCACATGCCTGCAGTCACTCAGGCCAGGCGCCAGGGGGCAATACAGCATGACTCTCTGGCATACAGCCAGCACGAGCTGTGTTTGCTTCCTCTTCCTGCTGCCCCTGAGGTCACTGGGAATTGCAGTCCAAAATCACAGTAGCAGGACTTTGGACAGTTGCTCATCACTTCCTCTTTCTATGTCCAGGTGCCTCTGAGATTTGTAGTCCGCAGTCACAGCCAGCAGTAAGTTTAGCAGGGCAGGGCAACTCTGTACTTGGGGGAAGAGGGGTTTAAATCCCCATTCCTTGCCCCAGACCCCAGCTGGGGTTTGCCAGGGTGGGGATAGGGTGCAGTCCCTGCCTTCTCCTGACACCACCTCCCGCCCCCCAACCTTCTCTGCTGCAGTAGACAGCCCAGCCCAGCCCAGGCTGGAAAGCATGCTGGGGGACTGTGATTTAACTTGTACCAGGAAGGGGTCTGAGACAGAATTTTCATAACCTGGTTTGACTCAAATCAGTTAACTCTGATAAACCTGGTTGAATGTAGTATCTTAAACCAGTTTCAGCCATTTTGACACTGGTTTATGTGCACTGAACTTCTCTTCTGCTACAGGTTTAAACCAGTTTCTGATGACTGGAACCAGTTTATGTGTAACTTCTGTCTCTAGTCTAGGAGACTGGACTTTGACTTGGCACATTAGCCACCGATACAGCTTTCCTGGAATGAGTTCTGAGTTTTCCTTCAACCTGAGACCCCATTTTATCATTACATCTTAAGAGCACAACATTTATTAATTGGAAATGGCTTTTCTCTTAAATGCTCTGGATGGTGTGATCTATGAAATATCCTCTATGCTTGGAAGCCCTTGGCCTGAGCTACTCTATAAAATCACTCTCCTTTCCAAAGTTTAAGCTCCTCTTAAAACCCATTTCTAATGTAATGTGAACATTAAACTGACTGGCTAGGTTGAAGAATAAGAAGTGACAGTATGTACGCCAGATCGACCAGTGTGGCATGGCTACTCAGCAGGCACAAAAAAACCCAGTCAGAAATCCCACTAAACTGATCAGAAAAGCTGGGTTGATAGCTGCCTTTTGTTGGACTGCATGTTAAATTTTAGCTATTATTGCCATTCACATTAATTTATGTAGGTTATCTTTTCTCGTCATTGTGGAGGTTTGCAAGGGGGAATCGTCTATAAAATACTGATTTTGCAAATATTATTTTGCTGAGCACCAAACTATCCCCCCTTTCAGCACAAAGTTCTCCTGCGTCTCAACATAAGCCATTGCAAAAAATTAATAGAAGAAACCTAAACAAAATGCAGATATATCTGGACATGGTAGGATGAAGAAATTATGAGAATCAAATCAATTCTGGAGAAGCTGTTGTTGCAGTTCAGGGAGGCAGATTGCTAGTACCATTAAAGCCCACAATCTCCACTGTAGGTAGGAGCTTGAAAGAGGACATACAAATAAATATCCTGCCTGTTTATATGGCTGAAGGCTGATCTTGTATAAAACCCCAGAATTACTGTACTTATTGGGATATGGAAAACCAACTGTGTTTTGTTTTTTGAAAGAGAAAATATAGGCTTTCTGCTTGTTTAACGTGCTGCTTTGGACAGAATATGTTGGAGGATTCTGTGGAGGGGAGAAGGGGCATTCTGCCAAGCTCTTTTTGTCATGAGCTTCCTTTTTGATAGAAGAGGGCTGAACAGAGCTCCCTCCAGAACTGCCATCAGTGTCACTCCATTTGTCTACCAGAGCGGGTGACAAAAGCATTCTAGTAATTTAGAACAGGAATGCCTAAAAGGGGAAACTGAAACCCAAAGCCTGGCCCCCATCCCATATGGTTTTGTGCTCTTACTAGATAACCCAACCAATGCAGTGAGGAAAACCGCTGGATAGCCAAAAAGTATACATACCTTATTTGTTGCATCAATAAATTTGACTCCCTTGTAAGAGACTGATAGAACAATAGTAGGTACTTTCTTCATTTGCTCTGTAGACTTCTAAAATAAACATGAGGGAGTGTTAGAACTGTTTGTGTTTCAATGGCAAGTGCAGCATGTCTAATCCCCCCCTTCTCTTCTGTAAAAATATACGAGTTATACAAAAATGTACTTAATTTAAATATTTGACTCTCTCTGTTGAGTTTTACTGTGCTTTGGGCTTTTGAAACAGCTGCCTTATAGTTATGAATCTGAAAAGAGCTTCACAGCTAGTTGAGGAGGATGAGAAAATACTACTCCCTTTTCCCAGCTCCACAGGAAAGAAAAAAGGGAAATCAGTCTACCACAGAAACTTAAAAAGGATGCAGTCATATAATCAAAGGTTTCCTACAATGAATGTAGGTTTCAGCAATCTATCATTCTCTTTATGTGCTGATATGCCCCATTCATCTCAGATTCCCCTCCCCAGCCAAGCTGTACCACTTTGGTAGTTTTCCTAGAATACACAACATGAACAAACAGTGTATTTGCTGTAGGACTGGATGTGTGTGTGGGGGGGTTGTTATAATCTGTTGTTTAAAAAAATAAATCACCTCCCAAAGGGTGGCTTTGTAGCTCACTGAGCTTGCTGTATCTGCCAGTCCAGCATTATACTTTGTACTGTCTTGCTCTAAGCAATTTTCTAAATGTGGCTTCTACTGGGACCACTTTACACATGATTAAAGTATAGGGCTATCCTGCTTTGTTGATGAACTTACAGTTCCTGACATCTTCTTTGTAAGCCTGCTTTATTTTTGTGGTGTTAAGGTTCCTAAATACCCATGAAAATGACACATACAGTTAAGAAATGACCTGCCAAGTAGAATGGACATGGTGTTTGGCTATAAACTAAGGAATTTAATAATCAGACTTTTTGGAGAAAATGTTAAAAGGTGAACAGTGTAAATGTATAAAAAATGTAGTCAAACATATGTAGTTCCACAGAAACTGACTTTGAATTTTAGTAAGGAAGTACAAGTAAGAACATTTTTCCATGCAACACCTGCATAGGCTAGATTATAGTCCAGCAGATGGCTGGTAAATCAGATACAGCTACTGTCTCTTTTCCACAATAGCATGACAGGGAATTACATTTTCTTGAGAGGAAAGCATAAATTCAGCTGTAGTTTAATTACACAAGTAAGAACAGCAAAATTGGAGAGAGAACAAGCAAGCAATGGCAAGAATTGAACACAATAAATTCCATTACTGATATAATTGTATAAGTTTAATAAAAAGCATAAACAGCATAGATAGAAACTTGGAAATATACCATATCTAGAAATAATGGTCCAAGATCATACTGCATTTCTGAAGTATCTGAATGCCTAATCATGATCCTATTTCTCCCCACATAGGAGCCACAAAGCCAGTAAGCTGCAAATATTCTTTATGCAACTCTGTCTTAGCCAAGAAGCAAGAAAAAAACAAGTCTGTGAGGGGGGAGATCTGGATTATGGCCCTTGCTCTTAATGCTATTTCTGCATGTTGCCTTAGTCACTGGATAAAGTTATACAAACAGCACTGGGAATGGGGGCTAGAACCTTCCCTCCCAAGTGAGTGCTCTCTTCACCGAGGAACAGAGTTATCATGCATGCTGCCCTGGCTCCTGATTTTTGCAATCCTTTCTGCCTGGTAGCCTAGATTCAGCAGACAAGACAATGCTTTCAACTACTCCTAGCCCATGGTAGTTAGTTGGGAAGTGGGAAATATGGATTCAATTGCTCGCTGAGTAAGTGGTTAGAACTTGGAGCTCTATAACTCAGGTCTGCAACTTCTTTGGAAAGTATCCTAGCTGCTAGGCTAGAGGGCAAAATGTGGATGGGTCAACCTCCTTCTGTTGGGCACCCTGGATAGAACAGGTTCATAATCCTGAGGTGAGCTGCATAGTCCTAGGCCTAGTGGGAGCAAAGTCTTAGATGTCTCAGAGGCAGAATAGAATATGGACCAATACATCTGGGAAATAAGTAGGGTTGACAGTAGATAGCATGAGGTTGAAGGAGGGAGCCAGTGATTAGATCTTCTATCTAATTGCATCTTGCTTCCTCAGGAACCAAACAGGACTATACATTTGTGCTAGCCAAACAAAATTTAAAACCGTATGTCAAGGCTAAGGTTAACTGTCTCTGATGATCTATTTTAAAGTTAACTCTCTCTTAATGTATTTATAGGAGAAGGCTGTATCTCTTAGTAACAACTTGTGACAGACTTAATAGGGAAGCCAGGTGCCATTTTATATGGATAAAGATAATGTTAACAAGAGCTAAATTTTTTTTTTCATTAATGAAAGCTTCTGGAGAATGAAAAAAAATCTGCATTAAGACAGTAATTACAGCTGCGTGTGTGTGCGTGCGCACATGCACACATGCACACACATTGTGATGGGGAGAATGAGTGCCTGTCAATGGCATGTGTTTGAATAAATTTAAAATATAAGCATTGCTTTAAAACTCAATGACAATTCACAAAAAGCATAGCAGTGAATGTGTGAAATCTCTGGTACCTCTATCAGAGCAGCAACCAACACACTCAGCAGACACTGAGTTGCAGACAAAATATTCACAAATATGACAATACAGATTGAATGATCTATCGCACAACCCAACAATCATCTAGCTTTTGTCCTTTTCTTTCTATCCCAACAGCTAACTCTCTCATTTGGAATGCCTCTGTCTCCCATCCTGATTACTGAAATTTCCTCTCCTTTGGTCTCCCTAACAATAATATCCACCCCCTTTCCTACCTACACAAAACCAGGCAACTAAGTTCTTTGCCCATTCATCCAATTGTGTCATCTTTTCTTTGAATTCCTTTGCAGGTTTTCCTTCCTTGCCCATATCAAATTCAAACTTCCCGTCCTTGCCATAGCAGATCTGCATAACTCTGTCCACTTTATTTATCCATCCTAGCTGTTTCTTTCACTTCTGTCTCCTTGCTCTATCATTGATACCAATTTTGGCACATTAGTCTATCTTGCACATGCATCCCCCACCCCAGCTCCCCCCACCCAATGTGCCTTGAACTCACCCTTCCTAATCTGCTCTATAAACCTCTATCCTGGCTGCGTTCAATTTTCTCCAAACACTGTTTTAAACTACATAACTTAGGTGATCTGATATAACCAGGGCTAGACTATATTTTTAAAACAACAGCAACGCAGGCCGCGTCTACATGAGATGTTGCCTGTGCAGTCGTTTAGTACTTGTATAAACAAATATGATGTTTCGTAGGGATATTCAGTCACAAGTGCTGGGCATTTGCTCTGGGTAACAATGGAAAAATAGACAGTGCTATAAACGGAGTGAGGAGGACTTACTGTACATCAGCTGATCTCTGGTAACTGTTTTCTGGGTCTGCTGTAGCCCATTCTAAGTGGAGCCTAAACTAGGACAGTTTACTTGTGAATGAAACAATGGCTAAGTTATCCTAGTTTACCAGAGATGAATATCTTCAGGGACAATTTGTGATTTGCCATGGGTTGTCTGCCAGGTGATTACTGTCTCCTGGGAAATGAGCCAACATGGTTACCCCATGTTACTGGTACTGCAATCAAAACTGAATAGCCTCTAGGCCAGCAGTGGGCAATTATTTCAGCTGGCGGGTGTTAGTGAACTGTCGAGGGTCACTCGCACAAAATCTTTCAGAAGATATTTTAACAAGTTATAAATAAAAAACAAATGAAACTAAAAATCAAACATCTATAACATATCAATTTTGTTAAAAAAAAGTCATCCTTGGTTATGTTTTGAGTAGCGTATACAGAGGTGATTGTATAATAGCTCAAATAAAGTCTTCCTCTTGTATATTGTGGGGGGGTATGTGTGAGGGGGTTGGTTATGTGGGAGTGGGTGCTTCCAGCTTGTTCACTATCTGTCATGATTTTCACTATGGAGTTTCAAAGGACAGGTAAGAAGGTGAGTCTGCACACTTAGTTGTTAAGTCCCACATCTTTCAGGGGTCTGGTCTCTCATTTGTAGATGGATCAGGTAGGTTTCCACACTTGTCTGCAATGTGTCCATGCTCAAGAAATGTCAGGGAGAGAGCTGAGCATGCTGCCTCCTCTCCTTAGGTTTTTCAGGTTAAAGATACCAGATTGACTCTGTAACATTATGAGATTATACTGCAACCTTCCTGTCTGTTCAGTGTCTCAGTGGGAAGCAGATGAAATTCAGGGCAGCTCACAGGTCAACTCCTAAAAAATGACATCATACATGAACACCAATATATGGCCTTATACTCCATGGCCAATTTGTACTGTAAGAGTACCCTGCTTCCTGGGTTATTTGTTTTCTTTTAATGCAACATCTACCACAAAATGCATTCATAATCCTAGAAGCAGGGACTAGAGCCCAGGACTTCCTCTCTCAGATGAGTGACCTATTAGGCTACCAAGTCACAGTCCCTCTTGCTTGCTCCCTTTTGACCCTATGAATCATACATTCTTGGATGCACAGTGACCCCACTTTCATAAGAAGTTGTGGCATTCTCCTGGATAAGGCCTCTGACCAGCAGCCATTATAGAAAAGGTGAGCACCTTTCCTCCTCTGACAACAGCACAAAATTGGCTCGGGGTATTGAGCTTTGTATGGGATATAATGCCACGTGGGCATTAACCTAACATATTTGGCTGTTTCAACTGTTTCAATTTAGGTAGTTACACAAAAAGTCGCATTTGGGTGTTTAGTATACCAATGTAGAAAAGACCCCAGTGTGTAAAAATCCTAATGACTCCAACATAGCCTTTGAATCTTTTAGGGAATGTTCTTCAGCTGAAGGACTCCTTCCGTTTGCAAGTACAGGGGGCTTATACTTTTAAACCCTAACAAAGACTTGTGACGATGATCAACCTTACATCTGCATCTGATGAGTCTGTGGTAGCCTGCAATCCTGTTTTAGTGACCACTAAGCCCTTTTGTATAACTTTCATTTCTTCCCTGTTCTTCTATAGGATCTTCATCAGAAAGGGAGACATTCTCTACATTTGAGAAAATATATTTTGTGAAGAAGCACATTACGCATTA